TCTGATTTCATGTAAACTGCAGGGCCTTTATCTATGTCCATTATGCTTGCCACTGTCTTCGTAACTAAATGAGAATTGATGCACCAAATTAATGACCAACTACCAAGTAGAGAATTTAATCGTCTTCTTCATGGTTGAAGGATCTGAGTGAATTTTTAACACTCTACTGCACCATTAATGAATTGATGGTGATTATTCCATTAGTTTGTCATAAGGTAATCCATATTTTTTTCCTCGGTTTATGACATTCTTTCTAGTTACTGTCACTATTCCAAATTGACGACCATCAGGTGTTTCGCCGCCCAACTGTACGAAACATCCAGCAACGACTGGATGGCAACGGGGTGAAGACCCTTTCTGCCGGCGTGGAAACTCAATTACGATGGCGGCAGTGGCTGAGACGGGTGTCTCTGTCGGAATTCGTCATGTGCTTCCCCCCCGCCCCCCCCCCCCCCCCCCCGGCGGTGAAGTGGCGGATGTAGATGGAAAAGAAGCCCATGAAGAAGAGAGCCATGAGCATAGCTGGAAAACGATGATAACAACAAAGATTTATTCGAGCTGAGGTTTACATAGTTGGAAAAGAGAGATAATAGACACTTGAGCATGTTAAAAGACACTTTTAGCCCTCAATTTAATGTTCACTTAACCAGGTGTTGACGGAAGGACCAACATTGGAAACATTTTTATAGTCAAGTGTCTAAATTGCTCAAATTAAAAGTCGAGAACCAATTGTGGAAAATCACGATAGTCGGAGGACCAATGCTAGAATTAACTCTAAAAGATTCGTTTGTATGTAACTTATCTTCTAGTTAGATTTTTTTTTTTTTTTGACAACCCAAGTATTTCGCCTTCACCAGATTATATCATGGGCCTTATGAATCTACCGGCACAAAAAACCCAACCAAAACCCAAATCCACAATGTTTGTGGCAAAAATCGTCCACCGTACCATGTCGCTGGAAACAAATCTTAAGTAAGGCTTTTCGTCCATTTAAACAATGTCCTAAAGGCAGTTAATATACATTATAGTGCACATTTTGTAGCCTTCAAGTGCACCCTACCTTCTAGTGCACAATTAAAGAGGATCACTAGAAGGAAAAAAATGGTTCAATAGAATGCTAAGTAATTTTTTATTTTTTTTTAACACAGTAGTAAGACACACATGTTGGGATTTGATTAAAACAATGTCAACAAGAACAGATGAAACAGTGGCTTAACGTGAAGACAACAAAGAAGGAAAGAAAGACTATGTGTCGTGTTGTGAACAATACTTCCTTAAAAGCAAATTTCGGCGACCAGTGCAGGCTCAAGCGCTCGGATTGCTTTCGACCGGTAACACAGAGAAGCTGTGCAAACCTTGCACCAGGTTGTATGCTGACAAACCTGACTGTTTTATAAGCTCAGACGTGTATGAAGAGACAAGAGAAGCTGAATTTATGAAATGTAGTGCCCTCCTGAATGAAGAATAAACAATGTTTATTAGTATTCCAGCTCAACTGTTTCCTCTTGGTCAGCCACGCATATTGCAAAAATAATGGATCATGGATCTTGAACGATCCCATGAATGCCAACAAAATGCGAGAGATGATCGAAAAAATAGGAATGGAAGAATAAGCATTTTCTTTCTAAATGTCTTCCAACAACACATGCACTTGAATGAATGAAATTGAGCACTTGAAGGCATAAAGAGGATCACTAGAAAGCAAAGGGGGGAAAAAAAAAGACACTAGGGAATTGAATGTTAGATTGTTAGACACTAGGGGGCGTTTGGTTCACAGAATGTTAGATTGCTGGGAATGTTAGATTGATGGGAATATTAGATTCCTATGGTTGGTTTATAAAACTAAGATATGTAAATAAGACAAGAGTAATAAGATAAATTGATTAAAACGTCCAAAGCTCAACATTAGTAATAAGACAAGGGAATGTGAGATTACCTAATAAATTGGAGGGTATCTCACATTCCCTTCCAATAGCTAAAAACTTAATGCAAAGGTTATCTGACATTCCCTGGAAAACTTACATAACCTGAACCAAACATGAGAATCTTATATTACCAAGAAAATATAACCTTGGTTATCTTATATAACCTGAACCAAACGCCCCCTAAAAGGGAAATTCAAAGAAAATTAATTGTGCACTCTTAGAAAGGAAAACATGCACTTGAAGGCTACAAAACGTGCATTTGAAGACCAAAGTTTTGCACTCAAAAGCACAAAGATGTGCATTCAAAGAAGAAACTATGTATTGAAACAAATTAAAACTGATGCACTCGAAGAAGAGAAATATGCACTTGAAAAAGGAAACATGCAGGTGCACTCGAAGAAGAAAAAATGTGCACTCGGATACAAAGACAATCTGACTTACTTACTCAAAAGTACAATAATGCCACCACACGTTTTTTAATTAATCTTCAATCTAAGCTGTTGATTTGGACTAGATCTAAGGTTGAGATTTAACCCTATTTTTTTACCTAAAGTATTCCTTCGCTTTTGATCCTTTGTGTGTGTGTGTGTGTGTGTGTGTGTGTGTGTGTGTGTGTGTGTGTGTGTATATATATATATATATATATATATATATATATATATATATATATATATATATATATATATATATATATATATATATATATATATATATATATATATATATATATATATAAGCCCGATGTAAAGAACAGGCCCACAGGATGGGCTATAACTAACTATGCTACTGATAAGAATCAAACCCAAGTGGTTAGGTTGAGAGTATAGACCAGAGACCACTAGACCAGGGTGTCTGTCGTGTCTAAGTTGCCCTTTGCAGGAGTCCAGGACCCCTATTTATAGCTTGCTCCCTCCCCTTCCAGACTTCCACGTGCCCGACGTTACTCAAACTCCACTCCCCCATTTCCCGTATACCACCATGCACGTTCATCACACCTCCAAAACTCCCGCTCTCCTACGCACACCCCGCACCCGCGATGGGGGCGCCAGGGCCTCGCCCAGGCGCGCGCTGGCCGTGCCTTCGCCGGCTAGGGCCAGCGCCCCAGCCGGCGACGTGGCACCTCGCCCCCGCGATGGGGGCGCTGGGGCCACGCCCAGCCGCGCCATCGCCGGCTGGGGCCAGCGCTCCAGCTGGGCGGTCCTATCGGCCACGTCATAGGCGATCAGTGCCGGCCGGCCGGCCTCGCGACGTGGCACCCTATCCGGCCCAGAGAACCCCTCCACTCCTGGCCCAACAAAGCAGCCTGTTTTAGTCCTCTGGCCCATACCCAATATCCCCATCACACACACACACACACACACACACACACACACACACACACACACACACACACACACACACACACACACACATATATATATATATATATATATATATATATATATATATATATATATATATATGGTCATGTTCAGCTTAGAACACTTCTTAATGTGAGAACATTCTTTCAGTAATGCACGGTACGTTCTTCATCAATGCACAATAATCGGCCTTAACTTGCGAAACCTTCGAACCAGTGAACTACTGAAGGATTTCACCGCAACTATTGAAGCACCGCAACTACTACGTGGTTGCACTGTACCGAATTTGATTGCATCACAAAGGTCTTCCATACATGTCTGGTAGCCGTTGCGGTGCAATCATGTAATAGTTGCGGTACAATCCTTTAGTTTTTCGCAGGTTAAGGTTGGTGTGCACCTGATGAAGATGTAATGCATTCCTAATATTTTAATAAACAATTACAAAACCATACAATTAATTAGTATATGAAATCAAAAAAAAAAAAAAAAAAAAAAAAAAAAAAAAAAAAAAAAAAACTAGGTAGCAAGAAAGAATGTGATAAGATGCCTCCTAGCTGGTGCTGTAGATTGGTTAGGGTTTATGGAAAGAAGAATGATATGATAGAGGTGAGGGCGGAACAATGGAGGGAGCATGGGGTAAGTGAAGTGATGGCATAAAAAGTAAAACAGTACGGAAGACACAAACAGATCACCCGTTTCGGAGGGGGACGGGAGACACACCTCACATGTTATATGAATGATTTATGATTCCAAACTTGGTCGTTTGCGTAACATGTTAGACAATAAAGTACCCTAACCTTTTGCTACTTGGCAACATTCAACCTTTCTTTACTAGCAGCCATTTAGAGATTTCTGAGGTTTTTTTTTTTTTACAACAGAAGATTTATTATTTTATATATTTACGATTAACAGTATGTCCCATTACATCAAACCTTACCTGCTAGCGTGTAATGACTAATGATCTTTTGGTTATGTGTTTGGTTTGGCTAAGTAAGTACTGCTTTTTACTGTTTATTTCTGGTCAGACCAAAACCTATTATATGTCTGGGTGTTACGTTGTGATGATACTGTTGCATGTTTGACTAATTCTGGGCGTGAATCTGTGTTGGGTATCTAACACAAATTTAAACACCTACACATTAAGTATGGCTACACATTGGCATCCTCAGTTTTGCCCTAGCAAAAACAATGCTCATAGCTACTCATCATTTTGTCTCCAATAATTTTTTTGTATAACTAGGTTTCCCGGGTTTGTCCAATTTGCCCAAATGATATCTGATTCCCTTACTACCTATATACTTCTATGCACAAAAAATATTCATCATCACTTATTATTAGTTAAAGTCATGTCGCTAAAAGCAAAACTAACCGTTGATTAGTCAACCTTGATAAAGCATCTCCAATAAATGTGTCTCTAAATTTGTAACAAAGTAGGGACTATCTCCTCCTCTAAACTTCATGACCTGCATTCATTTAATCCAACTTATAATAGAATTAAAGAAGTAGCATTTCCAATTGGGGGATGTAAGCAGTGCTAATAAATCATGGATTATAGCTAAATATGGCAATCAAATCAAAGGTGGAACTTCCCTTTTATCGTCACTGATAAATTCAAGAAAATGATACAAGAATAGTGTTGGTTCTGTAATGAAGAACAGTAATAAAAAAAAAAATTAAAAAAAAAAAAAAAAAAACTCACTCCAAACCCCCAAAATAAAAAGATGGATCTTCAATTCATATATTCTCATACAACAACTACAGCTTTAAAGAGCAATATATTTTAATTTCTAGGTTTTTATCATCATGTTCTCTTCCACCGACGCAAACCCTCTTCATCCCCAGTTTCCGGTGGCTTCCACCACCTTTCACGGCGGCACCGACCACCACCAGACTCTCCTTCCTCAGCTCCAAGACCACCACCACCTGTTTCCAAATACCCACATGCTGGTTTCACCTAACAACAACGTTAATAATACTAAACCCCTAAACAGTTATGTCTTCCCCAGCAGCTGCCGGCGTAGAACAAAGAATAAGGATCGGCACACCAAAATCTTGACGGCTCAAGGCCCGAGGGATCGGAGGGTTAGGCTCTCAATCTGTATCGCTCGTAAGTTCTTTGATCTTCAAGACACTTTGGGTTTCGACAAGCCCAGCAAAACACTCAATTGGCTCTTCGCTCAATCAAAACTCGCCATTGAAGAGCTTTTCCACGCCACCACCACCCATACTAAAATGCCTGTTGAAGACTCCCAAGAAATGGGCAGAAGGGCAAAAGATTCTCCCAAAGAAGAAGAAGAAGAAGAAGAAGAAGAAGAAGAAGAAGAAAGTATTGGGGTTTTTACTGATCTTGCTAAACAGACTAGGGCAAAGGCAAGGGAGAGAGCTAGGGCAAGAACTATCAAGAAAATGTGCTTTAAGGAGCTGAGTGAAGCCAAGATGTTACTGGCCGCCACCGAGACTTCTCCCTTACACAAGAATGAGCTAACTACTAAAGAATCCATAACCCCAAGGATTTGCTCAGTGTGGGATATTCCTAAGCATCTTATGATGCCAAAAGGTTTCAGAAATGGCGGCTATTCTCAAAATGTTAGTTCATCCCAAGGTAACTTACACCATTGAATTGCATTTCTAGTTCATATATAAATGCAGATTATATTTTGCTACCTACCTTTTGTTACTTTAATGTTTAAAAGAATTTTAATGAAGATAAACAGATCTGGTGAAATATTGTATCTATCTGTCTGTGGTACGGTCTGCCCTTATTATGAGTTCCATGTCCCTGTTTACACAAGAACATACATGGTTAAGAAAAGAGATTGAACTCAAATTTAAGATTCTTTTTTGTTTGTCAATTGACTGCAGATTATCAGCCTTTTGTTGTTGAGTTCATATATACACACACATATACATACATATATAATCATCTGTGTACCACTGCATAATTAAAATGGTAGCTTAGCTGCTTGTGAGAAACTAAATAGAAGAAGAATGATTTGGCTAGACCATTAACATAGATTATGATTAAAGGAAAGTGCAATTTTTCTCAGTTTTTAAGGATTGCTTTCAGATAATTATATCCCAACAAGGCTTTAAACCTTTAGGATATATATGATGATCCTGACTTTAACAGCTAAACTATTTTATTGCCTCTTTTGTTTACTTCATCATAAGTGTCTACTATGTGAGCTACATGGCTGAATATAATATAACACTATTAATTCATATTGCTAAAACCTTGTTCAATTCATCATTATTCATGGAATTAAAATATTTTATATAAATCTCTCAATCTATCTCTGAGTAATTTGTGTTATATATGCAAATCTTTCTATCTCTGAGTAATTTGTGTTATATATGCAAATCTTTTTTTGTTGTACAGTGTGATATTCGTTCTAAGAATACATATAATACATCCACGTTCTAAGAATACATATAATACATCCACAATATATATATATATATATATATATATATATATACATATATATATATATATATATATATATATATATATATAATCAAGTGAGATTGTGAGAATCAACCTTAACTTGTGAACATGCGAACTTCAGAAGGATTGCATTGATATGGCTCCCAAACATACTGGAGGACCGTTTGGTGAAATCGTATTCAGGTGCGGTGCAATTTTTCAAAAGTTTGTAAGTTCGCACCTTAAAGTCAATTTGGACCTGATTATATATATATATATATATATATATATATATATATATATATATATATATATATATATATATATATATATAAAAGTATGTATGTATATATGTATGACCTGAAATAATAATAAAAGTATGTATGTATGTATGTATGACTTGAAATAATAATAATATAATGTCATGCCTACAGATACATATCATCATGTCTATGGTTTGTAGATGTAGCTGAATTCCTGGCTTTCAATGTTGCAAATGGCTCTGTTGTGCAAGGACACATTTAATTAAATTCAAATAGAAAGTAAAGATCAAAGATAGTAATTGGCATGCTAAATCTTTTCAAAGAAATACTTATACTGTCATAGTGTATATGCCTTAAGGGGGTGTTTGGTTCAAGATATGTAAATAACCAAGATTATATTTGCTACAAAATATATAATTATATAATGTTTGATTTAGGTTATGTGCTTTTCTAAAAAAATATTATTTAACCTCCATATTAAAATTTTAATTATTTTGAAGGAACTCTAATACCAGTATCTTAGTTATTCTCACATTCTCTTTCCAACTTTATTGATTTTGGACTTATTGCTTTTTCTATAATGTTTCTCAAGCTTTTCATCACATGCAAGCGGCAATCAATTTTATGTAAGGGGATTGAATGTGTTTTAGTTAATTGTTTTAAAATTATTTACTTATATATATATATATATATATATATATATATATATATATATATATATATAGGTTCAGGTGCATTTAAGTGATTTCCGTGCGGTTGTGCAGGTAATTAATGTGCACGAGTTTTGTACTTAATGTGCGAGAGTCTTGTGCTTAATGTGCGTGAGATTTGTGCTTAATGTGCGTGAGTGTGTAATTTTAATGTGCATGCGTTTTGTACTTAATGTGTGTGAGTCTTGTGCGTAATGTGCGTGAATTTTATACTTAATGTGCGTGCGTGAGTGTGTACTTAATGTGAGTTGTTGTTGAAATTTTAAAGTGCATGAATTTTATGCTTAATGTGCATGAGTTTTGTGCTTAATGTGAGTGAGTTGTGTGCTTAAGCTGCGTGTGTACTTAATGTGAGTTGTTTTTAAAACTTAAGGTGCGTGTATTTTTGTGCTTAACATGCGTGAGGCTTGTGCTTAACATGCGTGAGACTTGTACTTAACATGCGTGAGGTTGTGTTCTGAAGGTGATTTGTTTGTGTGCTTAATATGCGTGTGTTAAGTTGTGTACTTTAAGTGCTTTAGATTAATGCTTAACGTACATCCACGCGCACAACCGCACGAGAAGCCAATGCACTTGATCCCTTCCATATATATATATATATATATATATATATATATATATATATATATATATATATGTATGTATATATAAATTTATTTATTTTGAAGTTTACTGAAATATGAGTATAGATTAAGAGTATTAATATAAAATAATCATTATTATAATCTAAAAATAACCCCGACGAGTTTATACAGGGCCGTATTTTAAGCTTTTGTGGCCCTGTTCTGGTAAATAAAGGTGGCCCTACTAAATGTACATTATACAATATAATGTACACTCAGAATAAAAATAATGTATATCTCCTGTATACAATATACATTATTTTTGTACTGAATGTACATTATTTTATAGTAGACAAAATATGGTCCACAGAACTTGTGTAGACTATGGTCCACACAATAATGATTGCTACCAAAATCACAATTTTTAAAATCAATACATGCAAGTTTCGAACCTTTGACCTCTAAGTTAAAATACAATACATACACATTCTTACCATCTCTTCATAGAACCTTTTACATTTAATTGAAAACTTTTAATTTTTATTTCTAAACTAGCTAGGTAAAAATTAAATATTGAACCTCTAAAATTTGGGGGCCCTCTAAAATAAGGGGCCCTGTGCGGTAGCCTAGCTTGCACAGCTTAAAATCCGGCCCTGAGTTTATATTACATACATTAGTTTTACTCAAACATAATTAAGATCTAACATTCTTAACAATTTAACATACTTAGGCCCTGTTTGGTAACATAGTTAGATTTTGGCTTATTTGACCACGGATAGTTGTTTGACTTGGTTAAACAATCAATGATTGATTAATTAGCTTTTTGTAAGAACTTATTACTCCAAAATGTTAAAATTCAAAAATTAATTAAAGCTGTTCAAAGTAATTTTTTAAGAGTAAATTTCAATTTTGGTCCTGTGACTATAGGGGTTATGTTAATTTCAGTCCACGACTTTCTAAAGTGTTAATTTAATACCTTGACTATGCAACTTTTATCAATTTTGGTCACTCCGGCCAAATTGTCGGTTAAATTTTGTCGAAAAAAACTTAATCCTTCATTTAGTGTATAATCTGAGCGGCAAAATTTGTTAGGAAATTTGGCCGGCGGAATGAAGGATTAAGTTTTTCCGTCAAAATTTGGCCGACATTTTGACCAGAATGACTAAAATTGATAAAAATTGCATAGCCAAGATACTAAATTAAGACTTTTAAAAGTCGTGGACTGCAATTAATAGGACATCTATAGTCACAGGACCAAAATTGAAATTTACTTTTTTTTTTATCAACTTTTTGAGAAAGTCATTTTGTATATAATCAACTATCAGTTAGCATCTAGTTTATCAAAACACATTTCTACAATCAGCTAATTCTATCAACTAGTCGATCACTAACCTAATTAGCTAATAGCTATTTACGAAACACCCGTGTTCTAATATTTCCTAAGATAATATAAGATCCCGTGAATCAAATGCCCCAAAAAGCTTCTGTTTTTTTTTTTCCCAAAGTGTTTGTACTGAGAACTAGAGTACATATGTATACAGTTTTTTTTTTAAAAAAAAAAAAAAATTATTCACAATAACTAGAGATATGACATTGTGCCAATATAATATTTATGAAAAGACACAACTGAAGGTTTTATACGGTAGAATTTAGACTACATAACACGTACCAATCATGTCTAAAATGCAGCACCGAGTGGAGCCCATTGGGGAAGTGCCAAAGATATGAAGGCCAATTCAAGTTAATAAAAAATTATATGTTGTGATAGAGCAACGAATTGCAGTTGTGTAGACCATATTATCGATCAAATAATGTACATTCAGTATATAAATAATGTACATTGTATTTTAAAAAAATACATTTTTTCTTTGTGGTCAGACTATGAGATGTCCTGAGTATATTTTAACTATAGGAAACATCTTTAGACTCGTACCATACATTATTTGAGTACTAAAAGTACATTGTTTTATATAATATACATTCAGTAGGCAAATAATATACTTTTAATATATTAAAAATATATACTTTTAATTATGCTCTAAATAGCATTGTATGAACCATAATTTGGCTCTGTAGCTACATGAGTATTTAATTCTCTAGTATGAAATATAAATGTAGGGCTGCTAGCTAGTAGAAGAGCTGCAGAATTGAATCAACGTAGAATATGATTATTATATATTACTACTACGTAGAACGAAGGCAGACAGAACGCCATGTCTTCCGGCAAATCAGATCATCATTACATACATGCATGCAAGCAGATATATATATATATATATATATGAAAAGAAACTTGTTTCCTTTCATTAGTTTTGCCTGATGTCATGAAAAGAGGAGTACTCTGCCTGTCAGCAAACAGTAAAACTAAGTAGCTTAGCTTCATGATCTATCTGTAACAAGGAAATTGGCAGCGCCATAGCTCAGTGGTCGATTGCAGTGACGGACCTTAGAATTTTTTTCAGTGAGGCCAAAAAGTTATAATAAAAGAGAAAGTTTGAAAAAAAAATGAAACATTTAAAAAGTAAAACATATCAAAATATAACGGTGTTGAAGCAAGGATCACTGTATTCATGCAATGACTCAAACCCAGGCCAATTTTAGACCAAAATTGGCTTCTTACCACCTTGTCTAACAAAGTCTTTGTTTACTTTATCTGTTTTTTAATACTTATACTAACATTGTAATATATATATATATATATATATATATATATATATATATAGGGTAAGGGTGGGGGTGGGGGTAAGGGGAGGGGGCAGCTGCTCCCACTGTAGGTCCGTCTCTGGTCGAAAGCCCAAGTGTAGGTGTAGTGTCTAGTAATTACTTGATCGGGTTCAAATTCTTAAAGGGAAGGATCCCAACATGAGAAAAAACACAAGCATTATCTTCAAACCCTACCTCACTGATAGTCTGAGATATATTTTACGAATGAGTTCTACTAAATAGACTCTCAAATCATACTTTCTAAAGTATATTTCTTGATGTGGCGGGCACTGATAGGCTGTTTTTTTTTCATGTGGGTTCCAATACAAGTGTCTACATCAAGATTTTATGTATGAAAGTACAAATTGAAAGTAAAAAATGGAAGTACATGTAGTATTTTCCCATTTTATCTCCTCTCACAACGTTCCCTCAGGCAAACCTAAAGAAATGGCCGGGCAAGCTAGGTAGCAGGTGATAGTGAATAGAGAGGGAGGGCAGGTTAAAGCAGGACCGGATTTTAGGCTGTGCAAGCTGGGCTACCGCACAGGGCCCCCAATTTTAGAGGGGCCCCAAATTTTAGAGGTCCAATATTTAATATTTACCTAGCTTGTTTAGAATAAAAATTAAAAGTTTACAATTAATTTAAAAAGGTTCTATGAAGAGATGGTAAAAATATGTATATATTGTATTTTAACTTGGAGGTCAAAGGTTCGAAACTCCCATATGTTATTTTTAAAAATTCAGATTTTGAAGGGCCTCAATTATTTACCAGAACAGGGCCACACAAACCTAAAATCCGGCCCTGGGTTAAAGCATGATGAATTGAATCCATCCCCCGGAAAATCTGGAAGAATATATATAATTACAGGGAATGGGGATGGGAATCTAGTTACACATTGGTGGCCGGAGAAACAAATGAATAATCATCATGGTACGTACTTGCTGCAAAAATATATTGTTGGTTGATTGTATCAAATCTTTCCTGTAACTTTTTGTGTTTTCCTTGTTGCTAGCTGCTCTGATCTAGGACCTCATCTGAGCAGGTAATATATATATATATATATATATATATATATATATAATGTGAAGGAGGGTACGTTTGTGCGAATTAAAAAAAGGGGATTTGTTGAGATGTTCCATCTTTAGCTTGTATGTACAGCTACATGCAAGTAGAAGCTAGGGAGAGCCTTCTTCACCAAAAGGGGTTAGCGTTGGGCTAGCTATGGGGTAAAAGTGGAAGATTTTCCTTTTAAATCTAATGAACATTGTAATTGTGTTTTTTAACTGAAAAACATAAATTAATTAATGTGAATCTAAACCAAAAAAATATCATAGTAATACAAGTAGACCACAATTTTATTTTAGATATACCCAAGGTTTCGACCGTCTGACACAGTAACAAATCCCCTCGCTGAATTATACCTTGTAGGTACTAGTTGGCTTGGAGATTTAAGGCTTGCTGAATTGTAGCCTTGTAGGGACCCGTTGGCGTGGAGATTTAAGGTTGCTCCATTCCCAAAACCAATGCAAGGATCTTACCTATTCAACTAGTAATAACTAACGAGGCAGTGGCTAGGTTGAAATGTTACGTAGATCTTTTGTACACAAAAGTGTATAGAGAGCGAGAACCTGAAATCATTCATGCAATTCAAAATTTACTTCATTCATGAGCTTGGTTCATGGAATCTATGATATAGTCGTCGGACAAAATCAAAAAACATGAATTATCAACCAACAAAAAAAAAAAAACAACATTTTATACTTAGATGGATCATATCCTAGCTGTATAATTTTATTTTTTTTGTTTATTTTTATTATTATTTTAATTTTATGAATAGTTCGATGGCCCGTGGTTGTTTCTGTCGTACTAAACAAGATAGTCATGGTTGTTTAGCAATAACAACAATAACAATAGCAAATTGTATGTTTAGCATCCCTGTAAATACTAACCTATTAAATAAGTATGCAATGCAACCTATTACGTCTCATTCACGAGACGGAATAGGCGGTCTGTTGTTGTCCGCCCCAGGTAACACCCCTTTTGTGTTCCAAAAAATTTAAAGACAAATATGATATAACATCCAAGATTTTATTTTATTATTTTAATCACTAATATATATTACTAGGGACGAAGTCAGGAATTCTGTTGAGCGGAGGCAAAGAAAAAGGGGCGGGTTCATAAATTTTTTCGAGTGAAGGTGAAACATGAAAACAAAAGAGATAATTTGAAATAAAGTACCCAAGAAATATAGGTATAAATATTAGGGAGTATTTGATATGGGTGAAAAATAAAACACATCAATTTTTATAAAAATATTTATAACAAAATATTTGAAACATTAATTAATTTGATAAAATAATTTGAATGGAAAACACATTATAAATTACAGTCATATCATTATTAATATAAAAGAATGTTATATATATATATATATATATGTGTGTGTGTGTGTGTGTGTGTGTGTGTGTGTGTGTGTGTGTGTGTGTTAAATATTATAAAAGCTATTAAAAGAGCCAAGAGAAACTATGAAAGTGCCAACAAAGGATTCAAAACCTGGACCTTCATTGTAACCGAACATATACTCTGTCAACTAATTTAACTCACTTCTTGTAACATTTATATGTTTCTTTATACTAATACTAAAACTTGTATTATAAATGCATATATACATATAAAGGTTATATATGGGGTGGAGGTGGGGGAGAGGGAGGGGGGCAGCTACCCTGCCCCTTTGGCTCGGTCCCTGTATATTACGATATATCAAAAATTACAAAATTAAATATAACTAATGCGCATTATCATTCCACTCCATACAATACAACCACCTTAGTATTATTTTGTGAATTTTAATTAAAGATTATCGTAGGGCAAGAGCTATATATAGAGATTTAAATTTGATCAAGTATGATGTATCTCTAAAAGATTTGGAGAAAATAGTGAAGTGTTAGAAGGCAAAAGTAAATTAAACTATCACATCTGAGGTATCACAATCACAATATGATAGGGTTGATAAGTCTATAGGCTTATTATCTTCTTTCTTTCTTTCTTTCTTTCTTTCTTTTTTTTTTTTTTTTTTTTTTTTGTTAATTTAAATGATAAGTTTGAAGGTTAGGACTAGAATGGACGCCCTACTGGGAGGAAGATATAGGAAAAAAAAAAAAAAAAACCAACTCCACGAGGAATGTAATCAATTTCTTATCTACATGAAAGTAGAAAATGAACAAATCAATAGACTGTTCCAACAAACTCAAGATCCATTTTTTTAAAAAAAATTATGAGTTTCAATTGTTAAAAGCTCAAAATGCAACATGAAAAGTAGAGATAGAAGAATGACGACAAGAGAACAAAATATTATGCATAGAGATGTAATGATCAACCATGTAGAGGAGGATTTGAATTAATCAATATTTTGATAATTTGAGAGAAAATGAAGGTTGACATGGAGAGTATTAAATGCATTTTTTTTTTTTTTTTTTGTGAAAGGGCATGTGTTTAATTTAAAATGTACTAAATGTTATTTTGTTGAAGTTATGTTTTACGTCAATGACATACATTCTTATGTTAATCGTTTGACGATGATATCTTTGTTAATAACTTAATATAGGGATCCTTCGAGTATATTGGTATGACCACATTTAATCACATGTGGTCCTTCAACTTCCAAATATAACCACCCATGATCTTTCAATTTTCAAATACGGAAAGACCACGACTAGTTAAATTTGAAATTTGAAAGTTGAAAGACCACGAATAATTAAATTAAAAGTTTAAAACTACATATAGCGCTACCACTATATTCGGAAGACCCTACCTGGTATTAACTCATATTTAATAATACAAACAATTTTAAGTATTTAACAAAATATGTAAAAACTAAATACATCAAAATAAAATAAGAATGCAAAGGAAATTAAGAAAGAAAAGCAATGGCACAATAGACTAAAAAGATATATATGGCGCAACATTGTTCACTTGTGCCAAAATGGTATAGCATTTGACACCTTCTTTAGAGAAGATTTGCACCAAATGCAGCACCATTTTGGTGTTTTAGCCTGTTCGTTGGAGATGGTCTTACATGTCTTTTAGTATATATATATATATATATATATATATATATATATATATATATATATATGCAAAATAAGTTAGCATATTTTTTACAAATTAAAATCCCTTTGTATTTTATACAAGGCACCTATATATCCTTGAGGCTTAAAATGGGCTGATTCTGCGAGCCAATTTTATCAGAAATTCAGGAATGAGGCGTCTTCTTGGAGGGGCAATGGCGTCCATAGCGAGAGCTTCTTTGTTGCTGGAATGTATGAATGCCACCAGATAATCAAACAGCTCATCTTTACCGCCTCTCAGAGGATCCTACACACCACATAAATATAACGTTTACCAGTTTTAATTTTTCACACCATTAAAAATGGTAAAAAGGTGAATGTTGAATCAAGAACGAGTATGTGCAGAAATGGATTCTTTCTGTGTCAACATCAGTAAATATAGTGGGAAAATGGAGGCGATATCACACTTACATGGAGGAACAAATCCAAATGCGTTTTCCCCTTGTACAATACCAGTTCAGCTTGAGCCCCCACTCCATGGAGAGTATCTACAAATGCTTTACTGCACAGATCGAAAAATGGCTGAAATTCTTTCATCGTACTTTGTAAAATATAGAAAAGAAACTGTTTTGTCACAAAAAGGCACTCAAATAGGCCCGATCGAGACTCAGCTGGATGGATTAGTCATATCCTTGGATGGATACTAACCTTGCATCTGAAGGAACGGAGCAATCTTCAGTGCCATGGAATAGGATAACATGAGGCAGCAAATAGACAGCTTTTCTAGAGCTCAGATCTTGTGCCATAATATCAGGAGAGAAACTTTCCAAACACTCTTCACCTTCCATTATACTGTATATAAAAACAGGCAAAGTATATGGTACCATAGTCCATAGAACATGAGACCAGGAAGTTAAAAACAAAAGCCAACTTGGTGCATTGCTGGTGAAGAAAATTGATTAGAATTTTTAAAAAATAAAAATAAAATTGATTAGAGAGACCTGAATAAAACAGAGCGATATAATCCTTGGTCATGGAAGTGATCAACTAGGCTCGGTAAGTTGTACCTGTGTACAAAATTTAGCAGGACATGTCGTTAGGTCAATCCTAAGTGACAGAAAAAAATCTTTCTTATAACGTGACTTCAAACCATGAAGAGGATGAAAAACAGTAATACCAATCTGCAGCAGTAACCATACTCGCACTTACCCGCCTGATAAACCAAAGTATGCTTTTATGCTTGAAACGCTCCAAGAAACCTTTTCTCCTCTTGATTCTTTAATTGCCTGTTTCACAAGAGCACATGCAGAAATATGTGCTCCAGCAGATTGACCCATGAGATAAATCCTGCACAAAGAAGTACAAAGAAAGTATGATTTCGATGAAATAATATGGTTTGGCTTATTAAGAAGTAAGAAAACTTGAAGGAAATTCCCTAGATTGAGCATTCAACTGGAGGGTATATATATATATATATATATATTTTAATACTATTAACTCTATTACATTGCAGTATCTGTTCATAACTACTTTCTCAACCTACTGAAGCACAGAGAGTCAATGCGCCTCCACTGAGGCTTGAACCCACAACCTCCCATGTGAGAGTTCAACTTGGTACCATTGGAGGGTATATTTAGATGCCTGTTTATTTAATTCATTCGACATTTTATGTCTTGCCTTCACTGATTTTCATATTTAAGAATATCCATGCAAGCAAGACTTCTATGATTTAAAGCTTTAAGCAATCCCAATTACTACTTGATACTGCTTCTCAAATGGTTGTTTGGCCATTTTCTATTTATTACAGGGTAATGAATAATGATTATCTCTTTCAGACTCCTTAATATTTGGTTATACCTAATAAAACATAATATCAATCCAAGCATGACTTCTTCCATTTTGAACCTCTAAGTAATCTTAATGGAAACTTGATATTGATCCTAAAATGATTGTTGAACGTCATATTTAATATGGCATGATGAGTACCTGTTTGGGTCACCTCCATATTCAGTAATATGGTTACAAATGAATGAAATACCTTGAGAAACATCTTCCACCATATCGCTTATTGTTCCCTGTGGAAAGTTTCTGAATCCAAGAAAAGTATTATTTATTTGATTATGAACAATACTTGAGAACACGAGAGACACGAGGTAATGTTGAACACAAACTCCTCCGCATACACATGCTCGGAGATAGAAAGAGTGCTGAGCTGATCAGTCTATGATGTATTAAGTAAAATGCTATCTATTTGGAGAAAGCAAAAGTAAAGGAGCAAGATCACTTATTCTTTATTACACAAAGTGATGATCATGCAGCCAAAACTAAAAATTACAGAAAATAAATTTGCATATGATAATAGATACTTAAGTATATATGCATATATAAAAAGAAGGAATGTAGCACATGATCTTTAAATATGAATACAGAACCAAAATTTAGCAAAATGAGTGTGTCAATTCCTGTCAGTAACTTATCAACCGACCACTCAAAACATATTTTATCCATTTTGCTTCATATGAAGTTAGAAAAGCATGAGTTAGGACCCACAAGCGGAATACTTACTGGATTAGGCATAGCAATGGATGAGTGTTTCTCATCTTTTAAATAGAATCAGGTACCTGTAATCAATGCATGCCACTATGATATCCCTTTCTGATAACTGTCTTCCTAAGAGAGAACCCCATGCCCTGTACCTGGATATGCATAGAATAAGCATAAAACTCAACAAAAGTATAAAGTCCAATAAAGCATAAAGTCAAACAAGCAGCTTGGAGTAGTTTTACTGGCTAAGATTTTTTAAGTTCTCTGTACTAGATATAGAGATTTTTTTGGCATTATTGGATACACATACTGACATACTATAAGTAAACCAACTCACTCCATTTAAATTATATTCACATTCACATTAACATGTTCCTTTCTGGTATTCGAATAACAATTAAGTTTTCTGCAAAGTGAGTTTATACATAAAGCACTTGAGGTTGGCTAAAGTTCAATCAAATTGTAATCAATTTGGATACTCCACACTCTTATAATTTAAAGTTTTAAACAATAAAAGAAAACAAGACAAAAAATAAAAATAAAAACTACGATAGCTTTCTTACTCACCCAATAATCCATGCTCCACCTGTGACAAATGCCACAACAGGCTTTGGACTACTTCTACTACTTCTAGGTGTTGGCAAAAATATATCTACTCTGCAAAACATATACAATTAAGGGGGCAAGACCAAAATGTTAGTTAAGTGCAAAAATCAAAATGAAACTGAGGGCATTCTGGTTACATACCTATTTCTTGGTTTGTTACCATAAACAACACTCCGATGGACCTGGGGTGAAAAGAAGTAATAAAATGCAACTGCAAAAAGTCCAAAGATTCACTTATATGCCCAAAGAGCTAATCTAAGACACTATTAACGACTTAACGTAATGTAATCCAAAAAGAACATCAGATATATGAAATAACAGATCCAAATCCGTTAATGTAGTTATTAGGTAAATGCTGAAGATTGTTAATATCAATCTCATATTTTGATTAAGCATTTGAAATTGACAATTCCGAAAGTAACATTAGTCCATAAACCATAGGAAAAACGGAACCACTTTATACGCACCTTGAAGAAACCCAGGCATAAGTAGCATTGCATAAATACAAAGTCCAAGAAGTCGTGTAATCCAATGATAACCTAACCTGAAAGGGGAAGTGATTAAAAACCATATCTTCAAAGCAAAATCTTTGAGCCCAGTACAGTAAACACAAGGGGTCAATAATGCTTCAGACAGAAGCAACATAATCTATTGTCTCATTAACATTTATAATGCAAGTACAATTTACAAGAGTCCTGCTCCCAGTTATCACAACATACTAATAATTCAGTATCACAAAAAGGGTGCCATTCGAAGAATCTGAAATGTACTGGGACGTCGCTATCGATCCATAAGGTCCCAAATCCAAAAATTTCGGATACACACATTTCATATGCATTTATGATTAAGAATTCTGAGAAGCGATTCACAGAATAGAATAGAAAGAATAATACCCGAGATAGGAAAAAAGCTTGAAACTGAGGCGAGTAACCAAATAAGTCTCGACGGCCGCGTGCGCAAGGTCGTGGCCAAAAGATTCTTCGCGTTTGGGCCGAACCCGACCAGGCACGGTATTGTTTAACGGTTTGAGGCTTTTCAGGTCGTCTGCTATAATATCTGCGGCCAAGGTCGTAGCCCTAGCCAGGAAAGGTTGATCGCCCTGAATCTGCATTAGCCTGGTGCTCTAGCTTCTTCCGATCGCCGGAATAAAGGAGCGAGCAGGATCTCAGCTTCCGTTAAAGCAAATCCGGAAAGGAATTTTCTAAATCAGTAGCTTTGATCGTAACGTGAAAGCAAGCAGGCAGGCAGGGCGGCCATGCATGTGACTATATTTTGTTTGTTTATATTCAAAATCATCGCTGGCATTGCTCAGTTGCAGAAAGCCATCGTTCTCCCTGCACGGTAAAGTTTTCTTCTTTCCATCTCCTTCACAGCAACGTGAAGAAACAAATCCACATTGGTCATTGACTTTATCCACGAAATTCAACAAAATTTGGGGGAAAAACACTAACTTGTTCAAGCGATTAAGAGTTGCTTTCCGATGGATTTGTGTAATCATAAAGAAGGTAAACTCTGCACGACTTTAATTTAATTTGTTATATATGGCCCTGTTTGGTATAGCTTATCAGCTCATTTAATTAGCTTATTTGAACCTTATTAATAGTTTGAATTTATTAAACAGTTACTCCGTAATATTTTTTTTTTTTTGAAAATATTAAACAGTTAATATAAATTATTGATTGTCAAATGGAAGATCATAGATTCGAGCATCAGTGTGTTGACTTTTTGTACTTTCAATTTATCTTCAGTAGATTGAAAAAATAATTATGAACAAATATTATATTGTAACAGAGCTAATAGTACTCAAAAAAAAAAAATTGATTAATTAGTTTTTTATAGTCGATTATTACATCAAAATATTAAAATTCAAAAAGATGGTTAAAACAATTTTTTCAACTAACTTTTTAAAAATTAGTTTGCATGTAATCAATTATCAACTAACATAATTAGTTAACAGCTATCAACTAACATAATTAGTTAACAGCTATCAAATAACAGTTATTTACCAAACATCATCTTCTTATCCCAAGGACCCCATCATGATTATTACCAAGCATGATTAAAGATGGGTGTTGCTATTTGCACCACCATCTGATTAAAATGGGGTATAAAGTACATTGAAAGTATAAAAATGTGATAATTTATAATAAATACATAGGTGGTGTAAATAGTCTAATGAGTGGTCAAAATACTATTTGCACCACCTTAGTAAAACTGTATTTATTAGATTTATGTAGTAATTAATTAATTCAAAATTTAATTCATTAAAAAAAAATAAAAATCATCGCCTTCTCACTGGAAAAGGCGACCCAGATAGCCTTCTACCTGGGTTGTCTTCTCCGATGAGAAGGCAGCCAACCCACTGGGTTGCTTTCTCCGGTGAGAAGGCTACCTGGGTCGCCTTCTCCGATGAGAAGGCAACCCACTAGGCTGCCTCTTCACCGGAGAAGGCAGCCTAGTTGCCTTCTCCGGTGAGAAGGCAGTCCCTCGCCTTCCCAGGGGTTAACTTCTTTTTTTTTTTTTAATTAATAATTTGATTGTAATATATATATATATATATATATATATATATATATATATATATATATATATATATATATATATATATATATATATATATATATATTAGTCTTTGATCACATTAAATGGTGGTGTAAATAGTACTTTTTAATTAGCATCACCTATAAAATATTTGACCTATTAAATAGGTGGTGCAAATAGTAAAATAAGTGGTGTGAATAGAATTTCCCTTACAGCACGTTTGGTTCACGGAATGAATTTTGAGGTAATAGGAATGCTATTCCATAAGGAATGGAATAGGCAAGGAATAGAATAGGAATTGTATTCTATTGTTTGGTTCGCGGAAGGAATAGACTTTAGGAATTATATTACAGTGTTTGGTTGATTTAAGGAATAGAAATGAAATATATTTTAAAAGACATAAATACCCTTATAAAAATATGTGATGGTGGCGATGGTGGTGGTGGTGGTGGCGGTGTTGGTGGTGGTGGTGGCGATGGTGGTGGCGGTGGTGGTGATGGTGGTGGTGGTGGTGGTAGTGGTAGGGGCGACGGTGGTGGTGGTGACGGTGACGGTTGTGGCAGTGGTGGTGGGAGCGGCGACGGTTGTGGCGGTGGTGGTGGTGGTAGTGGCGGTGGTGCTGCTGGGTGGTGGTTCTAGTGGCGGTGGTGGTGGTGGCAGCGGCGGCGGCGGTGCTGGGGTGGTAGTGGTGGTGGTGGCGGTGGCGGTGGCAGTGGTGGGGGCGGCGACGGTTGTGGTGGTGGTGGCGGTGGTGGCGGTGGTGCTGCTGGGTGGTGGTTCTGGTGGCGGTGGTGGTGGTGGCGGCGGCGGCGGTGGTGGTGGCAGTGGTGGGGGCGGCGGTGGTGGTGGGGGCGGCGGCGGTGGCGGTGGCAGTGGTGGGGGCGGCAGTTGTGGCGATGGCAGTGGTGGTGGCGGCGGCAGTGGTGGTGGCGGCGGCAGTGGTGGTGGTGGTGGTGGTGGCGGCGGTGGTGGTGGTGGCAACAACGGTGGTGAAATAGGATAAATTTATATATAGGATAAAAAAATTAGGTTAAAGAAAGGGGTAAAAAAGAAAATAGATTCTAAAATCTATTCCTGAGCGTTCAGTAATAGGCTAATACCAGGGGGGGCCCTAGTAATAGCTATTACCTTATTTGAGGTAATAGGCTATTACCAGGAATACTATTCCTGATAATAGAAATGGTTACCAAACAAAGGAATAGGCCTATTACTGGGAATGTTATGCCATTCCCAACCTATTCCGTGAACCAAACGTGCCATTAAAGAAAATACCATGTTTAGTGATCTGTGATCCACTTCATTTTTTAAATTTAAATCCTCACAAATAATTACGCCACATTTTTATGCTGATTTTCAATTTCATCATTTTTATTTTTATTTTGGATAGGAGGGAGGAGGGCACCCCGGAGAGCCTAACTAGCTTCAATTTTATCATATTTAATTCCCTCTTTTATATAAATTGTCAAAAAAATTTATTGAACTTTGCAATTATTAGAGTTTTCAAATTCTAGCTTCTAATCATGAATGAAGTTGACCATCGTTCCTTAATTTCAAATTTATAAATTTGTCCATAAAATTAATAGTAGAGGGATAGATTAGAGATGTCAATTGGGTCAGCTCATTCAATTTCACGCTAGTCTTATTGGGTTGTTGAGCTTATCGATTTTTTTAGTCGGGTAAAAAAAAAAAAAAAAAAAAATGTCCTAACCATAAATCTCGAGTTGTAGGACTTATTGGGCGGGCTCAACTTTTAATTTTGATAAACTAGTGCATTTAGACTAATAAACATAAACAGATAGATCATTCAATCAATATATACCTCCATTTCTAAATTCTAACTAAAAATAAGTAATATATTTACACTATAATTTAAAAATTATAATAAGTTTTTTTTAAAAAAAAATCATTATTTATTTTCATGAAAAAAAAAATTATTTTGTAATAAATTTATTAAAATTTTATTTACAAATTGAATAAAAATGATTAAAGATGAGCTTACATATAAATTTTCTATATATTTTGTTCTACATTACTTGTGAAACAAAGAATAGCCTTAAGTGGTTCAAGCCATCGGGCTAACCCACTAAATTTAAAGCTAGCTCATTCAGACTATCAAACTTATCTGGCTAACATTTCTTGGCCCTAACTCTAAAAATTTTTAGGCTTATCGAGTCCGTCCATCCATTTCAAGCTAATATTGACATTCCTATGATAGATTATATGATGAAGGCCTAAATTTGGTAAAAACTCAAAATGTCAAAATCTTACAAAAATATGGCAATGACTAAATAGAACTACCAAAGTTAAGATTAGGAAGTTTAAAAGTTATTAAGGCCTTGAAAAAGTGACTGAGTGAGTGGAACATGATTCTTGTACTAAAAGGTTAATTCAAGACTTTCAGTTAAGTCCGTCACACAGGATTTTTCTAATGTAGTTTACCTCGTAATACCCAATACACATACTCAAATAATGACTATAGAATTCCCTCATCACCCAAAAAAATTAATTCCGAAGCATTACATTAGAAAGAAAAAATAATAAAAAATTGTCCATAATATCAAACTAGTTGAAATTCAAGTATGCATTCAAGAATTTAATATAGGCAAATTCTCCGGTAAGTCAAAACTTATAGTATTGGTTATATCTACAATTATATTATGTTATTATTATCTCTGTTCATTTTATGTGTTTGGTTCAGTTAACAAAGTTTAACTGGTGTTATTTTTAATTCAGTTTTTTATAATATTAAATTTAATATTAATATACAAAATTTATATATTTAGAAACTACTAACTGAAGAATAGTATAAAAAAAAAGTTGAATTTATATTTTAAAAAATACTAAAGAAAATAAACAACAACAAAAAGTTGATTTGACCAATGAATAGTACAAGATAGGTAAAATAAGACATAGTGAGTAATTTATTTCATGTAAATTGTCTATTACAATTTTTCTATAAAATATTTATATAAGACTTAAAATATTGACAATATATGCAATTATGTTATGTTATTACTTTATTTCTCATAAATTGTCTATTATAATTTTGTTACAAAGTAGTACATTTATGATATATAGTATATATTATATATAAGGCTTAAACTATTGATTATATCAACAATTCTAGTATGACTCATTTTTATTAAATTCGACTTGTGTCACAAATTAAGACCCATGAAACGATCTCACAAGACACCAACATTTTAATAAAATATCCCTAAAGAGCGCCCAAAGTAGATGAAAACCCAGTTCCATTCTTGCCTTTTACAGTTTCACTTGTCACCCAAAACCAGAATTTAGGAGGTGTTTAGTAAATGACTGTTAGCTGATTGAGTTAGTAAATTTGACTAGTTGATAACATTAGCTGATTGTAGAAAAGTGTTTGGTAAATTAGTTATTAGCTAATTACATACAAAATGACTTTTTCAAAAAGCTAATCGAAAAAACTACTTTGAGTAGGTTTTTGAATTTTAGCATTTTGAAACAAAAGTTGTCACAAAAAGCTAATTAATCAAACACTCATTTTAACCAAGTCAAACAACTAATAGTGATCAAATAAGCCAAAATTGACTGATAGGCTAACTATTTTACCAAACATGGCCTTAATAAAACAATACAATTTTAAATTAATTGAAATTTAAGTATACGAAGGATGATGGTAAGGAAAAGAAATCAAGTTTCCAATTTGGTACACGCAATATCGTCAAGGCTGAGTTGTCAAGTGGAAGAAGCTTATCCTTTCACCAGACAATTGCTTACCTCAAAAAAATGGAGGACCATATGGGATGACAAAAGCTTATCTGTAAACTCAGCAAATCATGGTTCCTTTATTCTTTGTTTTTGGAAATACCTGCATAAACTGCATAAAAACACATAACAGAAAGACATAAAACAGAAAGAACAGCCAATTCTCTTTATAGTCAATTGGTCTCATGTTTTCTTGCATGTGTAACTGACTTTCTACATTGTACAAAATGGAATCTTGAGCTCAAAAGAGTGTTAGTCTAACAATTTCAGCCAAGGGAAGAGAAAATTATGGCTGGCATTTACTTTAATGTCCGATCATGACAGTTCAGAAAGCTTAGTATACAAGAATTGCAGAGATTATACATTCGAGCTAAAAATGGAGTTTCAGTAGAGAATGGTTTGGCTATAGGCATATGTACCATACAAATCTGTGGAGGAAGGAGAGTTATATGAGAATCCAGTGTCAACTTCTCGAGCTGCTTTGAGAAAAATTGAAGAAATCTGAGCTTAAGTCTTGGCTGCCAAAAGCCATCCTTTGGAACATTCTGATCTGTGCAGAATGTTCCCGTGAATTGAAAACTTCGCTTTGTCCTGGCTTCATTCCGTTGGACAGGTCCATGAGATCATCCATGGAATTCAGAGCTCTCACCACCTACACGCACATTTGAATTATCAGTGCTACCAAACGGGATATATTCGTTTTTAACTCTAGCTACTAATTACCAGACTCATCCGAGGCCTCTTTGCAGCTAAATGCCGCACACAAGCTGCTGCTGCTTCAATCATCCGGAACATCTCAATTGCTACAAAGTTTTTCTCCAGCCTAGGATCCACCAAATCATCAAAGTTTTCATTTTCCAGAGCTTGAACAAGCAAAGGGCGGGCCTGAATCAAAGGAATCTCTTGATGAAGATATAGTACGAGAATTTTGTTGTTATGCACATTTCTAACATGCTAGAAAAAGACAATCACTGTTCTCTTTGACCACAAGGAATATAGAAAGATTTGAAGAAAGTAATGCACAAAAGAGTCTGTTGGTGACTAAAAGAAGCTGGCAAACACGTTTTCTTCTCTCTCTGAATAGCACGCATGGCCTAGGAGTAAGGATGTTTTAAAATCATTGTCACAAACTAAGAATGGTGGCAAATAAAGTTTCACAATTTGATGGAGTTACAAATTTCCAACAATGAAGAGAATTTGAAATGTTAATCATCAGGGTTTAGATGCATATAAGATAATTACTCTGATATCAACGTATAAGTTTGAGGAACATACCCATTCGACCAGACTCTCATCACCTAGGGGCTGAGATGAATCAACAGGCTTCCTGCCAGTAATGAGCTCTAAAAGAACAACTCCAAATGAAAAAACATCAGATTTCTCGGTCAATTTCCCACTTGAAGCATATTCTGGTGCCAAGTATCTGGAAAACAATTAAGCAAGGGTTAATTACCTAGTCAAAGCAGTATACATCGACAAAAGGTTTAGTACCCTAGATAGTTTTCAAAAATATATGTGGATACAATAGTTTATGGCTTATTTGATAAAACAATCTGCCCATCCCCGAGTGTCAAGTTACTATAAGAGTCAGGATGTACATATGCCAAAAGTTTTGCTATGCAACGGGATGGTTTCAGCAAATTGAATACAAAAAACTATAATCATAAGGTCTAATATAGCAATGTGAACTGGTGTTTCTTGGACCCAAGATTAAGTAGAGGTCACCTACCCAAAGGTTCCCATTACACGTGTAGTCACATGAGTGTTTGTATCAGCAGCTAACCTTGCAAGCCCAAAATCAGCCACCTGACAACAAGGATATCTACACATATCATAAAAGCTATAGCACAACATAATGGAAATATCAAAGTGTCAATTATAAGCTATATAGACTCAGTCAGGTTTCCATAGCCCCAATAGTTGATTAAACATCAAAATCTTCTCAAAAATTTAAGAAGCGTATACAGACATACCTGTGCTTCAAAGTTGCTATCCAAGAGAATGTTAGATGACTTAATATCCCGATGAATAATCCGAGGGTGACCTGATAAGCATATCAATTTATAACATAAACAAAACGCAAACACAAGGAGAGCATGACAAATCATTATAATATGCTATCCAACTTTATTTTTTGTATCGCTTTTTATGCATGCATAAGGTAGTGGCATTTCGGAGTTGGACCTTTCTATTTATTTAAATGTCTGTATTGGACCTTTCTAAGACTTATGCCATATTTGGTTATTGGGCTGATTGAATTTCAAAGGAATAACTAGAAAAAAAAAAAAAAAAAAAAACACTCCAAAAACTTTGGAAGCAGAGGAAAGCATTAATTACAGTCTTCATGCAGATAAGCAATTCCCCTAGCTGCACCGGCAGCAACCTTCACTCGGGTTTCCCAATCCATAACTGGCCTACCTTCACCTGCATGTTCCCAGACATGAAAAAGTTCAGTTAGGTTGCCATGGCTATGATTAAATGGAATTCCATTTAATCCATACTTTAGGTTTCAAAATCGGAGGGGGGGAAAAAGCCAAATTTATCACATCCTTAAATTTCTGACTCTTTAAAGTAGATCTGTGATGTCCTCTAGACTCATTTAAGCATGTGTAGAGATATCTTACCATGGAGATGGTAGTGAAGGGTGTCATTTGGAACATAATCATAGACAAGCAATCTTTGGTGCTCAGAGATACAGTAGCCAACCAGTGAAACTAAATGCCGATGGTGTACTCGGCTGATAATCTCGACTTCTGCTCTGAACTCACGCTCCCCCTGCCCACCTCCACTTTTTAGTTGTTTAACAGCAACTTCTCTTCCATCTGCCAATAGTCCTTTATACACACAACCAAACCCACCTTCACCCAAGAGACTTTGGGATGAAAATCCATTTGTTGCTTCAGCTAGTTCTTCATATGTGAACCAGGCTCTTGAGTTTCCAATGCCAGCAGGCTCAGGCGAGTACACGAAATTGCTTTGTGAACCACCACTTCCAGCTAGATTAACTGAATGTTGGGATCTTGACCTTAAGAATGACGCATCTGGAAGAGGCAGCAACAAATTCACTTCAATCCATAAGGCATGGGACTGGTGTGTTCAGCATTTGATAAATTAAAAATGTACTGGAAATTTGCAAATCAAAAATATATTTATTGACTGCAAGGAGTGCAAGCTATCTTGTAGTTTTAAAACCACCAAAAAAAAAAGTCTAAGATTTGAGAGATAGCATTTGCAACACCAAATTTTCAGATGCTAATCACTGGCTCTAAAAGCCACACAACAATTCTACAATGAAGGAGTGGAGGAGAGAGAGGTATGAAGCTCTCAAACAAATCTAATTGCATTCTAATGACCATCTGAAAATGAAGGATTTTTATCATAAACACACACTCATTATGTTCAAAAAAAAAATACCTGAATTCTGGGAGGAATGAAATGGAGAGGGCGCCAAATACCACGGATTAGATGCAGCCTCCCTTTTCCTTTGCCTTCTTTTATACCATACCCCAATTACAACAAGAGTAACAACAAAAACCCCCAAAATTGCACCAACTGCCACCACACCTCCAACTTTACTTCCCCCAGAACCCCCGGATGTAGTTGGGCTAGGGATAGTCGATCTGGCTGTTGGTTTCTCTGTGCCAACTGGAGGCCGCGTCGAGGGAGGGGGAGCTCCAGTTGCAGATGTACTGTTCGGAGGAGGAGGACTGGAAGTATCAGGTGGCAAAGGTGAGGAGGGAATAGAAGGAGGTGATGCATTGGAAGCATTACTAGAGGGTGGGGAGGGAGGAGAACCAGCCGGTGGCGGTGTCAATGCAGGAGGTGGCTTTACAATCGATGGCGGGGGTGAGTCAGCAGGGGGTGGAGCTCCCACATTTGCGGGAGGCGGTGGCGAAACAGCAGGAGGGGAAGGCGGCGTTGCAACAGGGGGTGCTGGTGATGCTTTGGGAGGAGGTGCAGATGGAGGGGGTGGAGATGAAATTGGAGGCGGTGAACTGACAGTGGGAGGAGGGGCATTAGGAGGTGGTGGGGGTGGCAAAGCAGGTGGAGATGGTGGGGGTGAAATTGGTAAAGGTGGAAGTGGAGGAATTGGGACTAATGGTGGAGGAGAAGGCGGCGGTGATTGCGGTGGCAAGGGAGGAGGAGCTGCAGTAACAGCAGGGGGAGGTGCAGAGGTTATAGGAGGAGGACTACTTGAAGAAGAAGAATTTGAAGGGGAAACTGGTGGATTTGCAGAAGGAGAAGAATTTGGAGAAGGTGATGAAGAAGAAGCCATGGATTCTACTTTCTAAAAATAGATTGCCTTCTCATCAACAGTCAAACCCTAACCAGTAACCACAGATATGTGCGCATCACTTTCTTTACAAAATTAAAGCTAAAAAGTCCATGAAAAAGGAAGCAACTATCCCAAGGACCACCATTCAAATGCTTCAATTATCCAATAATTTCACTATAAATCTCAACAAATCAAATACAAACTTCCCAGTTCCCAGTAGTGCTGCTATGTATCACCAAAATAGAGTGATCAAATCTTAATGCAATCAAAACCTAGATTACCAATTTCAAGACCTCATCAATAAACTTCCAAACTGAGCAGGAAATGGTAAAAACTCATCAAAAATTTCAGAGCAATGCAGTAGACAAAGGCTGCGAAAAGAAATGCTTAGAAGTGGAGCAAGCTAGCCTCACCACTTTGCCTTCGCCATCGATTCTCTTCCACCCAGAACTGAGAATGAAGCAATACAAGTGGGAATCTTGAGATATCAGAAAACATGCTAAGAAGCTTATTCCAGATAAGAAAGTGGGAAAGGTGCACCCACGAAATATGCCATCAAACGTGGGTGCGACTTGGGATGGTTTTCCTACATGATTTTGATTGAGCCAGTGAGAGAATCAATATGAAAGATATATTATCCTTTTCCTGTCTGAACGCCAGGAAGACTGTTAACTCAGTTGATTGCGCTTAATGTTATTTTACTGTAGAACGTTGTAACTTCCAACTTTATTCATTCAACCCTCCATTCGATACTTTGGTACTTAATAGTAGATTAAGAATTTGTATCAAAGGCAAATATCGGCACTTTAGAAGTTCCAATATAATATATTGAGTTAATACCATCTGCGATCCTTCGAGTATAGTGGTTTCGTCATGTTTAGTCTTAAATTTTAAATTAACCATCTGTGGTCCTTCGCTTTTCAAATTTAATTATTCGTGATCCAAGTTAACCACTTATAGTCCTTCTACTATTAAATTTTAACCAACCATGGTCCTTTCAAAAGGACCACGACTGGTTAAAGTTCAAAACTTGAAGAATCATGGATGATTAACTTGGACCACGAATGGTTAAATTTAAAAGTCGAAAGACCACATATGATCAATTTGAAAGTTGAGGACTAAACGTGACAAAATCACTATACTCGGAGGACCTCAAATGGTTTTAACTCATAATATATTATAATAATTTCTTTATCTATCACAATTAATGTATCTAGTTTGATCCAAGAAAGTTGATTAAAGTTATTTACAATTCGATTTTTCATCATATTTAGTTTAGTTTTATTATATAGAATTTATATATTTAAAAATTAACAATTAAACACCCAAGAACGGATAATGACCTACTATTACAGGTCATTTCAGTTCCCGCATCATATTCGGCGAAAATCCAGCGACATATTAAAAATTTGATATAATTGGCGAAAATCCAAGGTGGTCACCTTCCATGGAGAAGGCGACCAATTGGTTGCTTACTCTGGTAGATTGCGACTGGCAACGGTTCGTCGGTGACTGGATTTTCGCCAGATATGAAGTTGGAACTGAAATGACCTGTAATAGCATGTCATTTATCGGTTCTTGGCTTCATTGCCTCAATTTAACATGTTAAATGGTGTAATTGCACTTTTTAAAAATTTAGGGACCTAATTGACTTCTCAAGTAAACTTTAGGGGCTTATTTGACAATTTTTCTATGAAAAAATAAAGATTGATTTGATTAGTAAATAATTAATATGACCAGTAAAATAAGACAAATAGATAATATTTATCTCAATTATAACAAATAATTGTTGAGTTTTACAATATAAACTTTTCTGGTGTGAGAGAAATCGAGCTCATTTGCCACTTGAGCTACCACGTTGAGTTATTTTACAATATATCTTTGTAACAAGGAAAACAATATATATATATATATATATATATATATATATATATATATATATATATATATATATATATATATATATATATATTTATTTATTTATTTATTTATTTATTTATTTATTTTTTTTTTTTTTACAACAGACGTTGATGTAATGCGGCCAAATAAATTAAGTTTTTCTAGGAAGAAGAAATAAATTCTTAAAAAAATTGATATAACCAATATATATATTCCCACTTAGGCATTATATCAACATCACATACAAAATTAAATGGTCAAAATGTTGGTAGGATGCAAATATGAACGTGGTAGGAAAAATAAAATAATAGAGCGTGAAGAAGGTTATAAGTTACAAGAAAGCAAAGTCAAATACAAAATCATGAAGCCCATGTTCTCACGACAACTAGTGGCGTTGCTAATGTTGTCTCTCTCTGCATAGCTTCAATTATTAGACCACGCCATGGCATTCCCTTTACCAATTTGTTTAATCCAGAATAAGAGATCTTATTCTTTTGTCTGTTTATAAGTATATATTGGATCTTTTTTTTTTTTTTAATATATACAGGGAAGTAAACTTGTTATATATTATGATCATCTAATTTGTTTTTTTTTTTTTTTTTTAAATCTCCACGTCTTTAAGAGCCTTTCATTTAGAAATTATCATTAGTTTCTTGCTGGAAATGTTACCATTGTATGGTCTAAATTCGTATAGTTTTGTTGTTTGAGTTATGTTTTTCTTGCATGTGTATCCAACACACAAAAGGATTTAAATGATAGATAGAAGATTTGTTTAGGTTAGGGCATACCATGTATTTCAAAGATAACTTAGGTTGTGTTTGGAAACTAGGAAAATGATTTCTGAAAATGCATATTTTTTTGAAAAAATGAGTCATTTTTCTGAAAATATTTTCATTTATAGTGTTTAGTTGCTTTCCATAAAACAGACTGTGTTTGGTTCATTTATCAGAAAATGAGTAAGATTGTATAACTCATGAATGTATTTATAAATTGAATGTTATTTATTAAAAAAAAAATGAGTGTTATTTAAAAAAAAAAAAAAAAAAAAAAAAAAAAAAAAAAAAACATATGCAGATCTGGTCTCTGGTTTTCGACAAAAACCAAAATTTCATATGGTTTCTGAAATCGGAGCTCTGGCTATGGTTTTTGGCACTGGTCACTGAAAACCAAATTTTGACTATGGACAAGAAGGTGAAGAAGTTGCAGTTTCTCTTTGGTCGGAAGAAGATGGAGTCAAGCTATGAAAGATGAAGATGCGCAAGAGAGGAAATGGAATCCTGAAAAATGACTTCCCTTAAAAAAAAAAAAAAAAAAAAAAGTGGAAGTCATTTTTCGAAAAAGCGACTTTGTTTTTCCTTTGACCGGAAATCAATTTCTGTTGCCCATCATTTTCTTTTTCTTGACAAACACTGAAAACTCGAAAAATGATTTGCAGATTAATCTAACAAAATTCCAAAATATTTCTCTATTGCTTTAATCTGTTGGGCTTTGGAAAAGTCAAAATCATCATAGAAGACTGTATGTTCATGAGGTTTGTTGATTGTTGAGCTAAATGAAGCAAAATGAATGGAATGGCAAAATGTTGTTCAAAGATCTAATGCTCAAGCCTCAATTCTGTAGGGAAAAAAAATTTCACTTTAGTATCACGACGATTATAATACTATAGTATTTAGTTTTTTATTTTTAATTTGATCAAGTTTAGTCCTACAATTTTACTAGTATTGATATATTTGATCTTGTATTACAATTTCAATTCAATTAACTTTAATTTTTGAAGTAATTCAACAATAAGATGATTCCACAATTTTAATATTCTATCCCTTCTTTAAAATTGTTGATAAAAGTTATAATAAATGATATAACATAGAAAAAGCAATATTTTTATTAAAAATGTCTATCAATTTTTTTTTTTTTTTTGTTGTTGTTGTTGTTGTTATATCATTTATTAACACTGTGAAAAGAGAAAATTAAATTTGTAAAATTATTAAATTTTAATAAAAATCAATGTTAATTTAATAAAAATTGTACTCCGTAGATTACTAAATTTAACAATATTAGTATGCCATGGACTAAATAGGATTAAATTAGCAATTACTAACTAAATATGATCATTTCATAAGAATTGTGGGATAACCAGCAAATTTTCCTACATCTTTATAAGATGGATACAGTCTAGCATATAAATTATATTGTGGACCAGGCCACTATGTACATTATAGATCTTGACCTAGATTATATATTTGTGGTTAACATATTATGTACATATAAATAAACTGAAAATATATAATATGCTAACTACAATATTTACATTCGTGTATAATTTGTTAAATGAATATATACATTGGTTATGTTTGGTAACATAGTTAGCTTATCAGTCAATTTTAACTTATTTGATCACTATTAGCCGTTTGATTCGATTAAACAACCAATATAAGTGTTTAATTAATTAGTTTTTTTGTAACAACTTATTACTTCAAAATGCTAAAATTCAAAAAATTACTCAAAACAACTTTTTCAATTAACTTTTTGAGAAAATAATTTTACATTTAATCAGTTATCAGCTAACAACTAATTTACCAAATACTTTTTATAATCAGCTAATGCTGAACGTTGTAGAAGTAACCAGGTTGGTTCTATGAGGTTTATTGATTGTTGGGCTCCTTGAGTTGGGTATACCAAGCCCACATTTCCAGTCCAACAATAAATTAAACTCAAAAGTCAAAACCATAAATTTGAGTATTTGACAATTTGCGAAGCTGTGGAATTCCTGAATAATTCGCAAATCTCCTGTTTAGCTGCTCATAACGTTCTTGAAGCATGTAAAAGGGAACTTCGTGCCTTTAACTTTTGGCAGATATCAGTTATCAACCGTGAGCAGAATCGTGTGGCTGATGCACTAGCAAAGATGGCGCTCAACCATGATTATGGCCTTCTGTCTCTCACTGACCCTCCAGATGAGGTTGGCGCACTACTTGAAGATGATATTGCAGGCCTTCCTTCATGGCGTTTTACGCATAGTTTGTAATAGCTTACGTCTATTTCCTCTTTTTGGATATCCCCTTCCTTCTCACATAAAAAAAAAAAGAAATAAAAATAGAAAGTAGTTATGAGCAGTGTTATATTGTAACAATATCAATAGTAGTTTAAAAAAAAATTTATTTTAAAAGACTCAGGAGCAATTGTGATGGAGGGTGTAACTCAAACTACCCAAGTAAAATTTGAAAGGTTATACTCAAAACTTAGATTGACTATAAAAAAAAAAAATTAAAATTCAAGTTCAACGGTTTTTTTTTTTTTTTCCAATTTTAATTCAACTTGTTTAAGTATTGAGCTATTTGAGTTTAGTTCGATTACTTTTAATAAATGCTATTTTTAAATATTTGTTACAAAAAATAAAAATAAATTTACGACAAATTATAGTGACAACATTTAATCTTATGTCTCATGAGCGGTTCGAGTTGAATGTTAAAATGTTTGAATTTTACTTGATTTGTTAGTCAAATTATTCAAGTTCAAATTCATTTCAACAATGATCACATCAAGTTCAAACATTTATCAAAACAAATTCGAGTAACTTGACTTACATACACCTCTAATTATGACAGTCCAATCTTAACTCAAAAACAAGTGGACAAGTGAAAAGGATCATGTGGTCTCTGATGGCACTTCATATCAAACTTACCTACTCTAGTCAAAGTTTTGGTCAAAATAACGTTTTTTTTTTTTATCTATTCATATACTTTCTCAACCTACTGAAACACAAAAAATCAATAACAGCTCAAACTCACAACCTTCCAAGTGGAAGTCCAACCCAGATACCATTAAACCACATAGTCTTAGTGGTCAAAATAACCTAAATCATCTATTAATAGAATTGTCAAAATGGGCATAGCTTGCACACAAGTTGACTTGCCCCGACACCTAATGAGAATATAAATAAATTATATTTTTATTTAAATTTATTGTTTTGAGTTTTTAAACTCATTATTGACTTTTAAAGTTTGTATTAATATAGACATCTTAAGCGTATCTATATTATACAATTCAATTTTATTTTATAAAATGGTCTTGTATATATAGGGGTGTAACTGTGTTAAGCTCACTTTGCAAACTAATGTGAGACAAATGTTTCTTCCAAAGCCTTTCTACCTCTATTTTTCAAACTCAAATGAGTCTACTTTGAGACTCATCTACCCACTGTCTGTTTTGAACGTATAATATATCAATCGTTTCTTCTTACTAGGAAGAATCTAAATCCACTTTGACCCGACTCAAATTGAGAGTGAATCCACATATATTTGTGCTACAAAATAACCATTTAAAATTTCATTTTATGTTATTTTTCCCAACATATTCTACAACTTTAAACAGTTTTTATTTAAATATATACTCAAAATTGGCCACGCACTTACAGTTGTTTGAATGTATGAACATCTTCTACTTCAAATAAACCCCAACCCAGTCCACTCTAAACAAGTAAAATGAATAAAACCACAGCAGATAAAAGTGAAAGAAGACTAATGGCTTCCAAATTCCAATTCAAGGCTGCAATTTACTTATCTGTACTTTTATATTGTGGTGTTTCCATCTTCAACACCTGAAGCAAAAACTCATTCCAAGTATCAATGGGGCCTGGCATGCACCAATGCACACAATCCGCAATGGTTTTGTTCTCATGCGCCCAGTGGCCATAATGGTTGGGGTGTCCTTCGGGTCTGAGAACCATGGATTCAGTGGTGTTGAGCAACCTGAACCTCACCCCCTTTTTACTCCCTTCCTTTTTGGCTGCCATGAATTCCCTCACCTGAGTCAAGTACATCTCTAACATGAACCCCTCTAGCTTCATCTCCCCCTTGGTGAACGGCCGAGTCCTCGCGCAGTTTCCGCCTTTGTTCCATTCTCCATTCTCGAAGTGGGCCGGCGAGAACGTCCGCAGAATCACCAGCCCCTTGAACTTTTCATGGTCTAACAGAGTCTTGAAGGCCGTGCGAAACGCCAGCCCGTATCCGAAGTAAAAGTTGCGCTTCTTGATGGTGGTTTCGTTGCATATATGACACCCCACGATTTTCCCCTTTTTGTAGTAGAAAAATGGGCGGAAGAACCATTGCCCCGCCGAGAAAATCACCACGTCTACATCTGCCATCTCGTCCGCCCACACCTTGTCTGCTTCATCTGTGTAAAGGTTCATGCGGCTGTCTGCCGAAGCCCATAGAGGATCGGCGTCTTTGGCTTTCACTATGTGCGGCGACCAGAACGAAAGTAGCGTGAAATTGTATTCCTTGTATACCCACCGCCCAACTGCTCCATCAGAAACCTTCACAGGATGGTCAACCTGCAAAAATCTTGTTAGGATGAAGCGCTTATCACTATTCGTCCCTTTACCGGTCTCCATACAACAATTCACCCTTTACTAACCCAGCACAACAATTCTCCCTCCTAACACCTGGCTAATCAGTTATAGCTCACAGCTGGCTAAGACACAACTTTATCATCACAAATAGAGATGACAATTTCAATCTACCCCGGGATGTCACTCGAATTCACCCAGATTGGAGTTTTTTTTTGGGTGATAGTGGGCAGGGGTGAATCTTAAAAAAATAAACCTATGATGGATCGGGTTAAATTCAAGTTCAATATATAAAACCCATCTAGAAGTCCACCCGACCCACTATGTGTGTATATATTATATATTATATATAATATATAATATATAATATATATAATAGTAAAATATGTAGTACTAGTATATATAGGTAACTAGTATTTGTCCCGTGCGATGCACGCAAATATGTTATAAAAATATACCTATATGAAATTTATTCATATATAAAAATTTTGTTATTTAATAATTATGTGTGAATTGCTATGATAAAATATAATTATGAACATAAATATATTTACAATTTAAATAAGAATTGGTATTTAAGGTGAGTGATTACTACAAATCTTAAACTATATTAAAATTTTAATACATAGTATTTAATATTACAAATTTTTAAGAACTTAATAAACTACAATAGTAATTGAATTACAATTTTCAAAGTCACCACGGATCAAAATTTGTAGACCTTTGAGATTTCTAGAGTTAGAAATCTAAAAGGTCTAAAAATTTTGATCCGTGGTGACTCTAAAAATTGTTAGAAATCTCAAAGGTCTAAAAATTTTGATCCGTGGTGACTTTGAAAATTGAAATTCAATTACTATTGTAGTTTACTAAGTTCTTAAAAATTTGTAATATCTATGTACTAAATTTTTAAGATTGACCTCATTAGAATAATCTCAATTCAAGTTTATTTGTGAGTTTTTGGATGGATTGGATGAGGCAAGAGAGATGAAAATGAATTAAGGTTAATTTAAATTTTTATGCACCATGTAATAAATAAATCTTAACTATAATATAACCATATGGTTTGGTGAGCAATTATTGTTACAATAACTGCTCACCAAACCATATGTCTATATTATAGTTAAGATTATAAAAGTTTCAAAATAACTTTAGGTAACTTTTTATTATTTATATATTTAAACTAGTTTATTTTTAAAAATTAACAATTTAATTATTAGATTTGTATATTTCAATTATTTTATATTTTAGTATAACTAATGAATTTTATTATTTTTATTATGTATATGTAATTTAATTATTATATTTTTAAAAAAAAAATAATAAGATGATAAGTGGTGGGTATCCGTAGTTGGCACCCACACTCGGTGAGGGTGGGAGTGGGTCAGGGACGAATCCAGAAATTTTTTTCAGTAGGGGCGAAACATTAAAACAAAAATGATAATTTTAAAAAAAAAAAATTGAAACACATAAGAAGTATATCCATAAATATTGTTGGATATAGGCAAAATATAAAACACATCAAAATACCAGGACTATGTGGTCTAATGGTATCCGAGTTGGACTTCCAATTGGAAGATTATGAGTTCAAGCCTCAGTGGAGGCGTTATTGGTTCTTTGTGTTTCAGTATATGAACAGATACTACAATGTAATAGAACCACAATATTAAACATAATTAATTTGATAAAATATCTATTAATAATAGAGAAATAGTGAGAAAAAACTATGTTAAAAGCATAACAAAGGATTCAAAACCTAGAATTTCTTATCTTAAGTTCAAACGTGCCCTCAGCCAACTGGTCTAACTCTACTCTGGTTAATAGTAATATGTTTTCTTATACTTATAATAAAACTTGTAATATATATATATATATATATATATATATATATATATATATATATATATATATTATACACTTACGTACACAGGTTATATTGGGGGTGGGGTGGGGTGGGGTAAGGGGGGCAGTTGCCCCCGCTGTAGCTCCGCCCCTGGGTTGGTTGGAGAAAATATAAGATGGATCGAGTGATGGATGTAGCCCCCGCTGTAGCTCCGCCCCTGGGTTGGTTGGAGAAAATATAAGATGAATCGAGTGATGGATGTAGCCTTCCCCAATTCACCTTGGCACATTGTCATCCCTAATTACAAAATACAGAGTTTTGGATTTTAGCCTTCAGGAACCTCCCCTTAACAATCTCCTAACTATCAATTATTGAACTTGATCTTTTTATTGCTTTTAACTCGAACCACCTAATTCTGGATTTGACCCTTTACAGACCTTTTCCCGAGAAGACCATAAAAAGTTTAAAAATAAACGCCTAGACCCATAAGAATGGGGCACTTACGCTAGCCAAGAGGCACTTGAGCGACTCCATTTGGTTTCTAGCAACGGAGTCGCCGACGAAAGCCATAGTCTTGCCTCGAACAAGCTCCAAGAACTGCCTGCCATCGAACAGAGGCAACTCACACCCGTCCGGTTGCCACCTCCATTTCAAAAACCCAGTGTCCGGTCTCCCAAACTTCATGCAGTTCTGGCGATCCTCGATGTCACACTTGGTGGCATTCGTGTAGTACGGACCTTCCGGGAACGGAACCCAGTTCCCCTTGAAGATGTTACACTCGCCGCCGCCGGGGATTAAGCTGAAAGATTGAAGCAGGGAATCGGAGATATTATAGGAGGTGAAGCAGAAGGTTGCGAAGATGACAAGAGTTATGGAGATTGGCAGGACAGCCTTCCTAAAAGCTCCCAAAACTCGTCTCCTCGGAGGCTCTGCTCCAATGTCGTCCTTCATTTCGGTTTTTTGTTTTTGTTTTTGCAGAGGATGTTCTATCATGTTCAAGATTACTTCATCTTATATTTTATACACATATATAATAGCTAGCGAAACCATCAAACCAAGCTTCTAATTCATTCTTCTTGACTTCTTCCCTTCGTTGATACCCTATTACCTGTTTGCATGATCCGCATGGCTTAATAAACAAAAACATGCTTAATCGATACACTTTAGAATCGAAATCAATTACGTTTAGCATCTTTGAACAGTATTAAACAGAAGGGAAAAAAATACGTTTCTAATCCCTCAATTATTGTTGATGGTTTTGTTAGAACCGCATCCAAAAGAGTGCATATAAAGTCCATGATACTGGCCCAAATAATAAATAAATAATACAACCTAGCCCTTCATTGGACTAGGATTAAATTAACAATTAATAACTAAATATGATCATTTCATAAGAATTGTCGGATAACCAGCAAATTTTCCCACATCTTTATAAGATGGATACATTCTAGCATTGTAGCATATAAATTATATGGTGGACCAGGATCACTATGTGCATTATAGATCTTGACCTAGATTATATCTACCGTTAACATATCATGTATATGTAAATAAACTGAAAATATATAATATGTTAACTACAATAATTACATCGTATATAATTTGTTAAATGAATATACATAACATATTAACTATAGGTATATAATTTAGACAAAGCTCACAATGCGTATAGTGAATCTAAGTCCACGATATAACAATTAATTTCTAGTAAGACTAGGCTCTGAGGTTTCGTTGCTTGTTGTAGAAGTAACATGGTTGGTCCGTGAGGTTGATTGGCAATCGCTATATCGTGGACCCTCGTATACAGTGCATTGTGGACTCTGATCCAATACACAGAATAATGTCCGTAATATACAGAATTCATGTTTAATTATGGACATATAATAATTGACATATGATAGTATGAGCATGAGTGAATGAGTGACCATATTATGGTTATTACCAATGATTCGAATTGTTGTTCGGCGGAATTTGAACCAAACTTAAAGATACCTAAGTGATACAGAAATGCCAAGCCTAGAGAATTGAAAGTGGGCGGCAGGGTATGCAAATTGTGTGCCATCTTCTAGTTGTCTCGTATCTAAAAAGAGTTAATACCCAAAATCGTCCTCGACTATAGTGGTTTTTCTCAATTTCGTCCTAAACGACTTTGGTGACCTAATAGCGTCCCAGACTTTTGTGTTTCGCTCAATTTCGTCCTCCATTCGTTATTCCGTCAAATTGGTGTTAAATAAAGGGACAATTCAGTAATGTCAATATTGATCTTTCTTTACTTTCAACTTGTGAAGTGCGAAATTCCTCTGTCTTGTACGAATTACACCAAGAATTACTCCCGGACCTGCAAATCAAATTTTATATTCGCAGTTTTAGGAGTAATTCGTAAAAAAAAAGGGGGATTTCGCAGTTCACATGTTTATGAGTAAAGAGATGCCAATATTAAAATTACTTAATTGTCTATTTATTTAACACCAAATGGACAAAATAACAAATGATGGACTAAATTGAGCAAAAGCACAAAAGTCTGGGACAAAATTGCACAAAACACAAAAGTCTGGGACGATATTAGGTCACCAAAGTCGTTTAGGACGAAATTGAGAAAAACCACTATAGTCGAGGACGATTTTGGGTATTAACTCTATCTAAAAATAATGTATCATCAAACTCAATTTGAACAAGGGTCGCTAATAAATGCTCAAGAAGCATTTAATTGTGCGCATTCTTTTCTTTAAAGTTGTATTGAGAGATCGTTTGGAGTATTAAAGAAGAGATGGAAGATGCTTGTTAAAATGTCATAGTTTAGTGTGTAGATCCAAATTGATGTTATTATAGCCACATTTGCATTACATAATTATATTCGAAAGAATTCACAAGATGACAAGATATTTAATTAATGTGCTTGAGCAGCATCCAGATTATATACCACCCGATAAACTTCAATATTCAATAGTAGTAATATCTCCATTACCTCTATTGAGATGAAGGAGATTCGGAACAATATTGCTACTTCATTATGGGATCCTAAATCATGATTATGTTAATAGTTTTATTTCAAAATGTTAAATTTTAATAGGTAAACAAACCAATTTAAATTTAAAACTATTTAAATTTTATGAAGATGTCATTTTAATCTTTTTACATTTATTAGTTTATCAAAAAGCAAATTGTATCAAACACTTTTAAGCATAACAACTATTCACTTATATAGCTTTTACCATTTGACCCGACCCAAATTGATGGTGAATCACATATATTTGTATCACAAAATAGTCACTTAAAATGTCATTTTATGCTATTTTTCTCAACATATTCTACAACTTTAAATAGTTTTTATTTAAATACTCAAGTTGACCACTATAGTGCACTTACAATTGTTTGAATGTATGAACATCTTCTACTTCAAATAAACCCCAACCCAGTCCACAGCAGAGAAAAGTGAAAGAAGCGCAAACTTAATTAGACTAAGACCTATGGCTTCCAAATTCCAATTCAAGGCTGCAATTTACTTATCTGTACTTAATTTCATCTCAGTGGATTATATTCTGGTGTTTCCATCTTCAACACCTGAAGCAAAAACTCATTCCAAGTATCAATGGGGCCTGGCATGCACCAATGCACACAATCCGCCGTGGTTTTGTTCTCGTGCGCCCAGTGCCCATAATGGTTCGGGTGTCCATCGGGTCTGAGAACCATGGATTCAGTGGTGTCCAGCAACCTGAACCTCACCCCTTTTTTACTCCCTTCCCTTTTGGCCGCCATGAATTCCCTCACCTGAGTCAAGTACATCTCTAAGGTGTACCCCTCCAGCTTCATCTGCCGCTTTGTGAACGGCCGAGTCCTCACGCAGTTCCCGCCGCTGTTCCATTCTCCGTTCTCGAAGTGGGCCGGCGAGAACGTCCGCAGAATCACCAGCCCCCTGAACTTTTCGTGGTCTAACAGAGTCTTGAAGGCCGTGCGAAACGCCAGCCCGTATCCGAAGTAATGGTTGCGCTTCTTGATGGCGGTTTCGTTGCATCTATGGCACCCCACGATTTTCCCGTTTTTGTAGTAGAAAAATGGCCGGAAAAACCATTGCCCCGCCGAGAAAATCACGACGTCTGCATTTGCCATTTCGTCCGCCCACAGCCTGTCTGGTTCGTCCGTGTAAAGGTTCATAAGGCTGTCCGGCGAAACCCATAAAGGATCGGCGTCTTTGGCTTTCACGATGTGCGGCGACCAGAATGAAAGTAGCGTGAAATTGTATTCCTTGTATACCCACCGCCCAACTGCCGCATCAGAAACCTTTACAGGATCGGCAACCTGCAAAAATCTTGTTAGATCATAAAAAGTTTCAAAGCAAACGCGGGGAATTGAAGCGATGAGACCTGGTGTGACTCTGATACCAAATTGAAGCATGTACTCCATCTCAACTAAAAGTCTAAGCTAATAGTTGGATGGTTATATGGGGCACTTACGCTAGCCAAGAGGCACTTGAGCGATTGCATTTGGTTTCTAGCGACGGAGTCGCCGACGAAAGCCATAGTCTTGCCTCGAACAAGCTCCAAGAACTGCCGGCCATCGAATAGAGGCAGCTCACACCGGTCCGGTTGCCACCTCCATTTCAAAAACCCAGTGTCCGGTCTCCCAAACTTCATGCAGTTCTGGCGATCCTCGATGTCACACTTGGTGGCGTTCGTGTAGTACGGGCCTTCCGGGAACGGAACCCAGTTCCCCTTGAAGATGTTACACTCGCCGCCGGGGAATAAGTTGAAAGATTGGAGAAGGGAATCGGAGATATTATAGGAGGTGAAGCAGAAGGTTGCGAAGATGACAAGAGTTGTGGAGATTGGCAGGACAGCCTTCCTAAACGCTCCCAAAACTCGTCTCCTCGGAGACTCTGCTCCACTGTCCCTCATTTCGGTTTTTTGTTTTTTTTGTTTTGTTTTGTTTTTTTTTTTGCAGAGGATGTTCTATCATGTTCAAGATTACTTCATCTTATATTTTATACACATATACTAGCTAGCCAAACCAAGCTTCTATTGATTGTTCTTGACTAAGACCCTTCGTTGATACCCTATTTGCATAATCCACATGGCTTAACAAACAAAAACATGCTTGATTGATACATTTAATTTTGGTCAAATATTGAGATTGGGATTAGAATCGAAATCAATTACGTTTAGTATCTTTGAACAATATTAAACAAAAAGAAAAAAATACATTTTTAATCACTCAATTATTCTTGATGGTTTTGTTGATAGGGATAAGAAAGGGTAGTATTATTACTCGGGGGGCTACGTTCAAAAGCGGAATCCCACGGGTGTATTGGTTGAAGGTTAGAAACTCATACCACTAGAGGGATGATGTCTTAAAAGGGGGACAAGGCACCATATTTATATTGTTGAAGAACTCACTTATGGCTGACAAATGTACGGCATCCGGCAACCATCATTCTTGATCACACACGTGTCCTCCCACTATTTTGCTTCTAGTGCACTTCCATGCATATAAGTGGAGCTTCCTGCCTACACATCGGACAACCTTCATTCTTAGTCACACGTGTCTTCCCAGTATTTGCTTCCGGTGTACTTCCCATGCATAAGTGGAGCTTCTTTCCGTATAATATATAAGATCTTGAGTGGCTTGGGTGGTTAGTACTTGTGTTGTTAGCCCATAGGTTATAGGTTTGAATCTTATTGGTTGCATTTTCTTTAATATTATGTTCCATTCTTCATTCTTTCCTGAGAAATAAAAATGGGGTGCTTGGCCAACACTTTCCCAATAAAATAGCCACACGGGATCCATGTCCTCATCAATTCTTTACTAACGATTTTAGTCTTTTTTTAATTTTTTTTATTGTTGCAATATACATCCATAACTCTTTAAAAGAAAATGTAGTTTTAATATCTAGATCACTAAAATTATTAAACTCAATTAAAATATTATTTAGTACATGATATTTTAGTTATAATCTTTAGTCTCAATTTTTTCATGTGTAAAATAAAAAACATAATTTTAACAGTTTCGTGTATG